TCACTGCTCAACATATTAAGATGCGAAAGGTGATCGTTTAATTTGTCGTTGTATGTTCGGTTCTGTTAGTGGCTCGTTAGCTAAGCGAAGCGCTTTTGTTGGATACTGGAAAGTAATCCATGGCTATGTTTAGGACGTTTGAACCGGAAACAGAGGCCAGTTGTTTGAGAATATGACGGTTCTTCGTTAATCCAAATTTGCGTTCCGGTAGGACACTTGCACCATGGTGTCACTGCATGTCACTTGTCATATCGATAGCCTATTCCTTTCTCTTGATGATCAAAACAGATTTGTTTGTCAACTGACACCGACTCACTAACTGCCGGTGTTCCCTAATCTCGGCAGCGAATAAACTAATGATCACACTGACGCGCGAACGACTTCAATCCGTTTGCTTCAGATGTGCGCAGATAGGCTAATCCTCGCACCAACCTGCCAATCGTCTCACACAACTCCCCTGCCCCGCAACGCGAGTTTCTGTGCTTGTTGTACCTTCCTCAATTGATTGATAAACCTGATGCTGTCCAAACGTGTTCTGCTTGCTGGGCTTACTGGTCTCGGAAGCGTGCGTTACATGCTTAGCAACGCTTCCCTATACACACAAGTATGAAAATTTCAGCAATCTAACCCTGATCTTCCAAATGCAACGCGCATTCTGACAATGCTTATCCGTTCCAATTCATAAAACGCCAACTTGACGCAATCAAATGAGTCCGAGTGTCAACCTTCGAAAAGGAGCAGGTATGTACTGAGTTGTCATTCAAAGGCGACCACATCATGGAAGTGGCCACGTAACAGATGAGTGCATTGTTGAGGAGGGGGTATAATACAGCGGAAATACGATTATTCCTGTCGACAGTACACTTGCTTATTTATTCAATGGAAGAATGGTTTTATACAGGTAAAAAACCTAAAGCCCAACAGGTTCTGTAAGACGGCTTTGGTGAATATTGCAAAATATGGAAAAGGTTTCAGAAAAAGTAAGTTCACCCCGGTGGACTCACCGTAATATACATACTAAAAAGCGTAAATCCACTGTAAGTCCATAAAGAATGACAATAAATGGGACGTTAATACAAATCGTCTCGCCTCCTGGTTAACACATGGTAGGCGGCATCCGGTTTCGGATTTGCTTGTCACTGTGGCCAGCCACAGGACGCCTCCGCCTACACAAGGACCATGGATGGCTTGCGCTGCACCACCCACAGCTCCAACCACATACCCCATATCCAGTGTAAACCCAAAGGAATCAGACCGGGAGGCATGTGGATTGGAGCCACGTTTCATCAACGGAGCCGGCCCACACTCCTTCACAGGCAAACACAAGCACGCTGTATTTGGAGAATCAAGCGCACACAAGGCGGTGGCTGGACCGTAGTCCGCTCCACACTGAGTGCATGGAATTACTCTTCGAGCCTAACACGGCCACAAGGACCATGCACCCCGTCTCTTCCAGCAACGACCAACAGTCTCCTGGAGCCAGTATGGACGAGGTAGTGGGTAATAGACAGGTAGGCACCTTGTCAATATGCACATCAAGCGCAGGTACACCGCGCATATCAAGCAACAGCCATTCACTTTAAACGACAAGTTGAAATAAAATAAATCCAGTAATGCATATAGATACGGTGGCATAACTCTTCTCTAAATTACCATATGAAGTAAGTTGGTTAGCAACGAATCCGCGATAAGTAAGAAAGGTCCACAGGTTACTTAAAAATGCTACAAACGCAATAAAATTACCGAAGGTAAGCGCAATTAGCGTAAGCAACGTGGCCAGTTAATAGAATTTTCAGGTAGGCAGAACAAACCAAATAAGGTGGAATTAAATTTATCCAGCTTAAAGTTTAAGTGTAAGTTGGTTTAGCCCAACTGCGGTGAAGAAGCATCAAGAATGCAACATCAGCCTCAGCATGGGGCACATGGTGAACACATACATGAATTGAAAAAGGTGTAACGTATCCTGGGAGTTGACCTTTAGTGAAATCGCTTACTGCCCGTCGTATTTTACCATGGGCAATAATTCATGTGAGATAGTGCAGCGAAAGGAGTGCAACCAATTCAATCTTTGAACTCTACCAGCGTGGAAGCGCAGTCGACAGATCCCGATAGGTCCTTCCACGCTTGGCAAACACGTACGGAAAAGAAATCCTAACCGCATTCCAAACGACCGTATTACACCTCCGATTTGAGATGATGGCCTCTCAGATCATTGTTGTGACTGATCTTTAGTAGATAACGACACGTGTGGTTGAGGTCCCACAAAATCTGTCAAGTCAAGGCAAGGTCCCCATATAGTCTCCGATATCGTCCGCTGAAGACTCCGAGCATTTGTAGCCTTTGTTCATACGGCAAATAGTACAAGCCTTTGTCATTCTTGCTTACACGGCATTGGAGTATCTCCAAGGCTGTGAGATCTCTCCTCAGCCACGGCTGCCAGATCTGTATTGTGTACTCCACATGTCGTGGTATGTATGTGCCGAGAAGCTGGGGAAAGGCCGACGGATCGAAATGTGCGAATGCAAGCCGCATGATGCCCAGATGTTGAATGCCAATTCTGGACGCCTTTCCAGTCTGATTCAAACGGTCAAAGTTGGACTGGACCAAAACTCCCAAGTCCTTCTCGCCCAAAGACGTTTGAAACTCTTGGTTGCCCATGTGGTACAGCTCGTCAGTAAGTGTAGCACTACCTTTTTCCACATTAAAGTGAAGCATCTTCTGGATGGACCACTCGCAAACCATATCCAGATCGAGTTAAATTGGTGCAATCCTGTCTGGTGTATTGAGCCCCTCCACACCTTGAAATCATCGGAGTAGCCTAGACAGTTCGGTATCATGCGTGTTCTATCGCTGATTTATATCAAGTATAGTCGTGGTTCCAGTTGCGATCACTGTGATACTCTGTATACAACTTGAATGGGATGTTCTGTAATTCACGCAACCTTACCTCCAAGCGCCGGTGTACGAGAAAGCTTCTGATTCACCCTAGGAGAGAATCATCAGTACCAAAGATCTGGACTTTGACGAGCCGAATATCGTGATCTGAAAGGTTGAATGCCTCTGAGAACTCGAGAAAAACTACATCAACTCCTGTGCCACTGTTTACTGCTTCGGTCCAGCTGGGTCAGGCTAATATTAAATTATGTAGGTCACGGTCGATTTCGTCGGAAGTCATGCTACTCTTGCGTTAAGTAGGTAGATTCTTCTAATTAGGCTGTTAGCGCATTAGCAATAATGGCGTCCATAATCTTTGAAAATAGCGGTAGTAGGGCTACAGGACGGTAGTTGGCTGGATCGGAATGAATAACTCGTTTGTGAATCGAAGTTACCATCCCGTGTTTACACACTATGGGCAAGTACATTTCGTCGAAACCTTAATGGAAAAATCGATCCAAAGGCTTAGCTAAGCTCTCTTCAATTGCGCAAGTAATTCCGTGTAAATCTTATCAACTACAGGTGAGCTGTGCTTACACATATACAACAGCTTTTTTAGTATAGTTTTTGAGATAGAAGTTATATGAGGGAGATTTTATAGTGAGGTAACCCTTGTCATAGGGTTAGGTGTCCCCTGAACGCACCGGAAGGTTGAAGCATATTACAGTCGCAGGGTATGCTCTGTATCCTCCGTGATCAGTGTCAGTCCACTCGTTGTTTGAAAAGGATTTCCCCATTTCCGATTATGTAGACTGTTTATCTATTGTTGATTGGAGACCATACGCATTGCCCACTTCTTCTGGTATGCCATTTTATCCTCGTGAATAGGTTGAGTACAACGGTTACGTTGAGTCATATTGACCACCCAAGTCTTGATGCTGGGAGATTTTTTATATACGCCAGGTAAAATTTCGCACTGCCATACATTTGTGTGTCCCGATTCGTACAAATAGGACCACATTTTTCGAGCAAGCAGCCTTAGTTTCTGATGCTTCAGCAACCAGAGTGCTAACTGGCTGAGCAAATGTTGCCGTGCACTAACCCGTGTCTCTTGTGCTCGGAAGGTCCAGTATGTTGTGCCATCTAGTCGAGCTAATGTGTTGTAGCGTACAGGAGTTCTTGTTGCATCGCTAATTTCTGCAGACTATGCTTCAAAATAGTTGTATTCGAAGAGGAGGACTATATGATCGCTGAGGCGCAAGGGAAATTGGACGGTCGCCTTCTAGAGCTTCGTCGTTGGTGAATATCCCATCCACTATAGGCGGCATCCCTGTCGCTCTTAATCTGGCGGGAGTGTTGATGTGACCATTAACCAGAAAACTGGCGAGAAGCTGTTCTAGATCTGCTTTGAATAGTACCCCTAAGTTGGTCTTGGATTTCAGAGCTTGGATATCAAAATTGCCACTCACAACTATATGGCTGTACTTCTTTCAGCCACAAGGCGGTGCATGTCCCATTATTTATACAGAATTTAGCCGTAGCTATGGAGACAGGTATGTTGGGATCACTGACAGAAGTTTGGATGTCTGAATTGATGAGTTCATTCCCGAGTGTTGGCGCAGCCAAATGGGGCCGTGTCGATGGGATAGTGCAAAATTGAGGGTCCGAGCTGCATCGGCAATCACATGGTACTAGCTTAACAACGGCTACCAAGTTAACTCCGATGAACCATTTACCCTCCTGATCCGAAACTGAGGCCACACACATAGTGGAAAATATTTTTATTGATCGAGAGCAGCTTCAGTCTTCTGTACCAAAACAGCTGACCAACTGTAAGTCCACGGTGGTGGCGTGAAACGCATTGATTGACCACTCCTTGACTGCTAATCGATCCCTTCCACTTTATTTTATTTGCACTCAATCCTTAGTTGCATGTAAGGCTTGCACGATATGATCGTGTCATTTCACAAGTTGTGTCTTCTTATTTTGATTACTTATTCTCTTATTTGCTTACAGTATTTCTACACCACATATTTTGCTTGACCTCCTGACAGGTTTCATTAGTGCCCAAAACTTGCTCCGGTTTGGTGTCCAATTGTTTGCAAATTTCAGGCGCCGATTTTGCTATGCATTCGACGTACTGCTGGTTCTCTCAACCTTTCAGCCTCACAACAGCTTTCCTTTTACATTCTTTCATACTTATCCAGTGGGTTATGAGCCGTGAAATGGCAGACAAAAAGCGCGAACCCACCGAATCATCACGTACGAAATCACTACGGTCCTCAGAAGCACGGACCGCCGTCACTGGTCCGCTATCCGTCCGATTCTTGGGGAAAACTATCAGAGGTGTGGGAGCCACACCTGGATGCAATGGGACGGAACAATCGCATTCCGGTGAAGCGAACCGCAATACGAACCTTCTCACTCATGTTGTGGACGAGGGCGCACCGACAACCCCGGTGGAACCTTCGGAAGAAAGGGAATCAAAAAAAGATTTAGACAGGCAAGGATTATCTACAAGGTTTTCGACTACAAGGAACTTAGGTGCATTTTCAAGACGAAGCTACATAATTAAAGACAGATGTTCATAGTCGATCCATCACAACATTCGTCGTATACCATTTCTTTCGAAGACCTCAGAGTCTGCCGATGTGAAATGTCGTAAGGTGACTTGGGTCGCTCAAACCAGCATCCGTTCCATACGCACTGCGAGCCATGTCTGAAGTGAGTGCGAAGGAACGGATACTGAGAAGGGAAATTGGAGAAATGATCATAGTAAAGATATAAAATATTCACCATTATCATCAATACACGTTAGCTGATGGTGAGAAAAACACCTCAGCTAACGTGCCGCAATACAAAAAGAACACATTACAAAAATGCAGAAAGTGTATACCATACTGCTCGCTAGCCGAACAACCTCCTCGTGGTGCCCCAGCTGGGTGCTTCGGATTTAACCCGTTCCAGCAAATAGTTCAGCGGCAGTGTACCAGGAGGTGGTGGGTTTTCGACTTGCAAGCGTTCTTCATGTATGAAACCACAAATGTCTGCTTAACAACACTGTGACGTACAGAATGTGACTGGCCAATAAATAAAGTCACTATTCAAGTTTACGCTGACAAGCTTATCAAATCCACAGACGTCAAACATTCATTTAGACACAGATGTCTCGACCGAAATCATACAAAACAACAGCAACACATTTATAAACACAAGTAACACATGGTTGGTTGGCGGCATCCGGTTTCGGATTTGCGTCACTGTGGCCAGCCACAGCACGCCTGCGCCTACACAGGGACCATGGATGGCTTGTGCTGCACCACCCACAGCTCCAAACACACACCCCATATCCAGTGTAAACCCGAAGCAATAAGACCGGGAGGCATGTAAATGGGAGCCACGTTTCATCAATGGACCCGGCCCACACTTCTTCATAGGCAAAAACAAACAAGATGTATTTGGGAATCAAGCGCACACAAGGCGCTGGCTGGACCGTAGTCCGCTCCACACTGAGTGCATTGAACCAACTGTCGCCTGGAGCCAGTATAGATGAGGTGGTGGGTAATATACAGGTAGGCGCCTTGTCAACGTGCACCTCAAGAGCAGGTACATCGGGGATGTCAAACAACTGCCAATCACGTGAAATGACATTATCAAATAAAATATATCTGTTAAAGCACATGGCTATACCGATTAAACTCTTCGCTAAATTTGGATTTGAAGTAAGTTGGTTAGCAATAAATCCGCGATAAGTACGAAATGTCCAGAAGTTACTAAATGATGCTACACACGAGAGAAAGTTAACGAAGATAACCACAATTAGCTTAAACAAATTGGCCAGTTAATAGAAGAATACTCAAGTAGGTAGAACAAACCAAATAAAGTGGAATGAAATTTATCCAGATTAAAAAGTGCTAGTTTAAGCGTAAGTTGGTGTAGCCCAACAGCGATGAAGAAGCATCATGTATTCAACATCACCATCAGCATGGGGCACATCTCATGCATATGTGGTTGGTGGCACCCGGTTTGGGAGTTGCCTGTCACTGTGGCCAGATACAGGACGCCTGCGCCTACAGAGGGACCATGGGTGACTTACGCCGCACCACCCACACCTCCAACCACACACCCCATATCCAGTGTAAACCTGAAGGAATAAGACCGGGAGGCATGTGGATGGGAGCCACGTTTCATCAATGGAGCCGACTGACACTTCTTCACAGGCAACCAAAAACAAGCTGTATTTGGGAAACGAGCGCACACTAGATGCATGGAACCACTCTTCGAGCCTAGCACAGCCACCAGAAACGTGCACCCCGTCCCCTCCAGCAACGACCAACTGTCTCCTGGAGCCAGTATGGACGAGGTAGTGGGTAATAGACAGGTAGGCACCTTGACAACATGCACATCAAGCGCAGCCACACCGGGGATATCAAGCATCGGCCAATCACTTGAGAGAGAGAGAAAGAAAAAGAGAAAAACTGGATTAATGCATAAGGAAACGGTGACATAAACCTTAATTAAATAGCATACGTAATAAGTTGTTTACAAACACATCCCAGCTAAGTGCACGAAGTCAGGAAGTATAGTTCACGGTATGCCACGAACACAAAAATCTTATGGAAATCGAATACAACTGGCTAAAGCGATATGTGCAAGTTAATGGAATAGAGTACATGGAGATATTTATATAAGAAAGAAAAGCATTAAGGTAAAAACTGTAAACCCACCACCTGAAATAAAGAGACTTAGCATGCAAGCACGCGGTTAGTAAATCGAAATCAGCGTGCCTACAAACGCTGCGCCGGCTCGTCGTAATTCTCTGCAGGACCCATCGTCGCTTCTGTAGTGGCCCCAAAGGACCTAGCTCATGGCGCA